TAATTCAGGTTATTTTCAAAACAATTGACTATTGTCAGTATCTAATGGGAAGATGTGCTAGAAGCCCTGAGTAAGGACATGTTACTCCCTTGACATGAGTTTGATTCAGATCATCTGCTGCGACATCAAACATCCCTGCCACAGGGATTCATTTAAGTCATAAAAGACTTATTTGCTCTATACTATTAAAAATATGCCTCAATAAATTTGAAAAAGACCACAGCATTTTAAGGTAAAAAAGTGTCCCGTGCTGAACCCAAGCCCTGTCTTTTGAAGGAAAACTTGGGCCTCCCACTAACAACTTCCTACAGTACCGACACCTGCAAGCTCCCAATCATTTCCTCAAGCACTTGTTTCCCACGTGGACATACAGCTGGAGAGATCTGCATTTGAAACAACGATGACCCATTTGTAAGCTGACCTGAATTCATTAATAAGGTAACGGGTTAGTAGCTCAAAGGACAAGGTGCAATATCTTTTCCAAATCAAGCAGACTGCTTACATGCAGTGCAAAACACACACATTACTAACCCTGAAAGAGAAAATAATTGTGTACGACTGACTTGAGCATCAGTTTTCTTCCTGAACACTGCAGCTACCAGGTTTCAGGATCCACAGTGACTATAACTCATATATAGTCATGCTAGAAAAGGAAACCCTGTATCTAAAGCTACCTTTAGGAACGCAACAAGGAAAAGCCCCTACATCTTCATTAAAAATGGATCTCACAAACTAAATCTTATTAGGTTCAACTTTTTGTTGTAGTAAAAGCGTTAATTATAAAAATAATTCATATTGAGAATCTTAAGCTGTTAATGCTCCTTCAACTCAAACAGCTGACATAGTTAGGCATCTGTGCCGGGAAGTATTAGCGTGGCATCTTCATCTGGTCCAAGTGCTGAATGTGGAACAAGCGAGAGCTCTGGAGATAGAATCTCCTTTGGCTAGATCACAAATCATAAAGACTTTCGACTTATAAAGATTTCTGGAGAGCCATTTTGCTTCTGAGCCAGTAACCTATGCTTGGATTTGGCCGGTTTGTTATATTTGAAGTGGATCCATGCCTACTAAATCTTTAAAAAGAATGCAAGGGTAGAAGAGTAAGGAAAAGAAGGGAAATCAAACAGCTGCTTTTGATGAAGAATATATAGGGAAGACATTTAAAGAAAACTATTACCAAGTGGTTTTATTCTTCAATCTCAAGTGGCCTATCCCTGGTTCCTCTTGGAGCCAGGGCTGTTTCTCCTCTTGGAGAAATAGAGCAAAGACACTCTACTTGCTCTGAGATAAGAAATGAATGAAAGCAAGATATAATTCTTGCTTGGAAGACACAGTATGTAGTAGTATCTCTTACGGGTTGAAAAAAATGGCATATCTGGAAAGAGAAGCAAATTCCATACTTCGATTTATCTAGCTTAATGTAGACAGTCTGGAGGTGAAATCTCTGCCAAGACTTTACTATCTTTCTTCCCATACAATTTTAATAACTATATCCATTTCGATCAAGAAATGGCAAAGGGAATGGCCTCATTGAAGGAATGCGAGTTAAAATTTTGCTTGGCCCTCTTAAACTATTTCTGTAATAAGTAACTTTCCCCAGAGCATTTTTTTCTGAGAAATGAACATCAAAAAAGTTTACTAGGATAAGAGAGTTTCAGTGTTTTCTTATTCTGTCACCTAGGCAAAGTGGAAGAAAAGAAAAATACAAAAAGAGAAGTTGAATTTTGTTGCAAATAAGTGGTAGAAATGAAACAAGATTGACTCTAGTTCTCTCAACRTCAAACACACATAAGAACCGTATTGATTCACAGGTTCTTGCTGYGTGGTAACAGTGGGATCTGCACTCATGGAAAGCAGCACATTGCCCTGATGTGGTGCTCACATGGAAACAACCAACTAAATAACGCCTGGGAAAACCGCTACCACCTGCAGAGGAGCAGCTTGTGCATCACGGAAGGGSTGAGGCTGGARGGGACCTCTGGAGATCATTTAGTCCAACCCCTGCTCCAGCAGGAACACCCAGAACACGGGGCAGCATCCAGGCGGGATTTGAAGACCTCCAGAGAAGGAGCCTCCACAGCCTCCCTGGGCAGCCTGTGCCAGGGCTCTGTCACCCTCACAGGAAAGAAGTAATAAAAACACGTATATGGTACGTGTGCTTTTTCCCTCCCTCCCTATGAAGGAATGACAGACAAAATACAAATATAGAAGATTTCACAATAAAAAGTTTAAAATGAAGTTTAGAAATCTTTAACAAGCCAGATATTTTGGTCACTGCCTTATTTGGTATTTAAATCACAAGCTAGGGTTGGCAAAGCAGGCAGAGACTGCTCCATGGCCGCTCGCAACAAGAACCTCTGAATGTTTTGGTTTCTTATCCACTTTTATCTTTATTTGCCATGAGCTAAGTCACTTGATACATTTTTGGAAGAAAATATTTGCACACAAACCAAGTTTCATAGCTATTTTTTTTACAGTTTCCTAACACATAATGACACAAAAACAGTCATCAAAGACCCAAATTCAGACTAATACTAAGATGTTGCCTCCAATGACCACTGAGTTCATACACTACATTTTCAGCAAATTCACTGCTTAAGCCTATGAAAATCAAATGGCTGATCTGAATACACTGTTGTTTAGAAGAACCACGTAAGTCATGTATTCACCAGATCATTATTTTAATCAAGGACAACATCACCCTAAAATCATCTCTGAATGTGCAATTAGGGGACATAACTGAAGATCAACAAAAWTTTTTTTTTTAAATGGCAGGAGTGAAACTTGCAATAAAATTATGAGAAAGTCCGCACTGTAATAATTAGAGTGAGTCTTTGACATGCTGGTTTATAAGGAGTTATAAATAAGGTAGCAAAAGATTTTTTTTTCTTTCCCTTGGAAGTCCTGGGCTATGATTTCATTTGCTCTAAATAATATTACTTGCTAGGCTGCCCTGGAGAGCTCAGGGTGACAGAGAGCACCCAACTCTCCCTTGCCAACAGGACTTCTTGCAGTTGGCTTCTTCCACTGCACGTCCTCTACCCCAGGGAATTCTCAACTCCAGCTATGGGCAGCACCCAAATCTACACACTTCTGAATGGTAGAAATCAACCAAAGAAATCCAACATACCACCCATGATGTGCAGCTAATACTTATAAATGCCTACTCCTATAAAAAGAGGTGCCATTTCATGTAGTTTCTCCATCACTTGACTTCCCAGAAATCCAATTGATAAAGAAAATAGCATTACACAATTCAATGAGTGCAGCATAAGTCTCTGATGATTTTCCTCTGGAAAGGAAGGTATGTACACAAGTAGCTTGAACACAATTTGCTCATCTAATTTGTTGAATTCCTAAGTGTAATAGTGTGCGTGCGAAGTTTTGCTGATTATAATTGATTGAAAACATATCTCTAGATAAATGACTTGTAACTTCATTTGATCTACTTTATCCACTTACCTAAAACATAAAGCAGAAAATTAAAATGAGAATTTTCTCTGAATATAAAGATGGCCATTTTTCAAAAAGCTTACCTGAGGTTCTGTGCCAAATCTAGATGAAAAGTTTCCACCGAGCTGAAACAAAAATGCATTGATATCAGTTAAAGTTAAAGCAATGAACAAAACATTCTGCCGGAATTTCAGTTGTCATTTTAAACTTTTCTATTATGTAATCTCTAAGACCAATAATTGCAATTCACTCTTAATCAGCTTCAGTTAAACTTTGTTTCAGTGTGATTTATCTGCACTTTTTTGCCTTGGAAGACACTACCAGGAACAGAGAGGCAAACACCTCTGGAGAGTAACTGATGATAATGCAGTCAAGATGATGTCTGGAACAAGTAATTTTTAAACAATTCAATCTTTCCTTGGACACATGGAAAAGCAATTTAGGAACTCTAAAAAGCATTGTGCCTCCATCCTGTCTGACCAGTGAAATAGAAAGATGATAAAAGAYGACAAATACAGATCCTGTTTCTGAAAGTGTCAATACAGAAAATAAACAGTTGAGAAGAGCTTTGTGTTTATTCACATTACAACTTCTCTACAGCAATCAAGTATTAAAACTCTCAGGATCTGGAGAAAAAAATGAAGAAATGTGCAGAATGAATTTGCCTGAGATGCACAGAAAACTGCAATTACTACCGTGACAAAAATATTACACACAGCACTGATAAGACAGGAACATAAAAATTCACTATTAAAAGCAAAGTCTGGGGACGTGTTATTCAACATGTATTATTTTTGCCCGTGATCACTTCTACAAATTACTGCTTGCCAAGTCTGTTACTTCATTTTTTTTTAAGATAAAATTACTGCATATTCTATGATTTCCATAGTTAATAGTCCATTAGTGGTCACCACTATTCAAACCACAGGACCACATATGCTATCACTAGGCAATGTTTCTCAAGACACTGTCTTAAACATTCAAACTACTCCTTTAGGAGTCAGTAAATGCTGATGCTATGAACTATTTCATAGAGAAAGTTACATCTTTTCTTGGGAACTGCCTTTCCAACTCCCTTAATGAAGTTAATACGAAGAGAAAAATAAGTTGTCTAAAAGTTGTGTGTCCTTCTCCATGCAAAAAGTCAGGATGCAGAGCTTAGGCACAAGCCAACATGTAATTTCTCCTAAAGATTTGACTTTGAATGAATAATAAAAATTATGACAATAAACTTTCAGATTTTTTTTCTATGACCAAATGCCTTTGATGTGGATGCACAGAAGTCTGTTCAAGCAATCACTCAAGAGAATATCAGCAAATGATATATTTTTCATGCGAGCAAAATGCCTTTGCTTCTGGTACTACAACTACATTAGAGCAACTACTTGAGAAGGTTTGTAGTGAACCAATATCTAGTTACAGCACCGTAACTCTACTGTAGACACGTGGTATGGATGTAGCTTAAGGAAAAGGAGGAACTTCTGCCAGGGGAATTGCAGAAGAGTAGACAGTGACTCATTAAAGACCACCAAGGATTTGGTGTTCACAAGTTTCCCTTACAAGACAAACCTGTGGCTAACTTCTCAGGGAAGCTAATGGCTGCAAAGACTTCAAGACAGTGGAACGGTGCCAAYGTTACAAGGAAAAAGTCAGCAGGTACAAGGCAGGCCCCTGCTGTGAGAATGTCATGAAATAGTTAGAAATGCCTGAGCAGCAAGACATTTAGCAGACTGGAGAAGACATAAAGCTAGTTAAGCTGGACAGCTAAAACCAAATGGACAAATGAAAGATAAGATAGAGGAGACATCCAGAAACTGAATGCTACCCCCATCAGATGAAGTTAGAAAGGGCTGTCCTACACACAATGCCAAAGTGCTCTGCTCAGGGAGGAGAAAAAAAAAAGAATTTTTTTTTTTTTTTTAAAGTTTCATGTGATCTACAACCCTTTCTCCTACTAACTCTAGTTTCAAGTTGTTTTTTTTTTTTTTTTCAAGAAGAAAAAGCCTCTTCTTCCTATAACCTTTAGAGTCACTTCTGACTTAACTGATGGTCTGAACAGATGTTCAGGACTATCTTTTATTCTCTTTCTCTCTCTCTTTAAAATTAGATCAAGATTAAGAGAGACCACTGCATGTATTTGAAGAAGGGCTTAAAAGCTAAATAGTTGTACAAACCATATACCTACAAATGCTTTATTTTTTTCATGTTTTTCACCATATGGCTCAGCTGAGTAAAGAGAAGCRTAAAAAGAAGGGGTTTTGATAGGAACTATAGTAATCTGGCATACAAAGTCCTTGCAAAGCCTACCCTGTGGTAAAGTGCCAAAGTTTATACATCTTAAGCCCCTCAAAAGTATAACTTGATTATAGAATTTTAACAGCAAGAGTAGACAGACAGCTGGAAGGAGTCCCTTGAATATTTTGGCTAGAAAATAGAAGGATGTTCCTGCAACAAGTTACACTATGGAGAAAATTACTTAGCAGAGGAAAAACTGAAAAGCTTTAAGGTTATTACACAGAAACTGTATTAACTTGATTTCTCTGGTTACTGTCTTCTAGCATCTCCTGAAAAAGTAGAACAGCGAGAGGGAGGAAACAGGCTATAAGACCCTTAGTAAATCTGAGCATCTGCCTTCCACAATRAAAAATTATTGAGGAGCAAGTTGGAAGAAAGATATGAGGATCCTAAGGCCGAAAGTAAAGCTGGGGGAGCATGGGGGAAGAACTGAGGAAGGGATGGTGCCCAAGAGCACCACTAAGCACCTCAAAAACTTCTTTCAGTAAGAAAGCAGAGGTTTCAAAACAGAAGATGGAAAGGAAATTYGTTTGGAAGTTTGACTGATATGTAYAAGCATGCCCTAGATACATCTCTTGAAGACAGAGCATCATTTCAGAATAGATTCCAGGAAAGAATCCCAACATATCACCTTGAAATCAAGTAGATTTCTTTCCCGATCAACTTTTGAAGTTTGAGATATTTGAGAAATTCATGATAGACTRAAAGTGTTGAACTCTCACTTGGCAAGTGTAGAAAACAAATAAAACCAAATAAATATGGTTTATGAATGCTAAGGTACGACGCTCACCTGTCCGGACACAAGGAGACGTAGAGCAAAATGAGAAGCACGGCTCCTACTATCGTTGCCAACAGGGATCTCATCCAGGAGCTAAGCTGGCAGAAGTTACAGTACTGGACAATGGTGATCAGAATCGCACAACACATAAACATGGTATACTGCAACAGAGAGAGAGAGTGCAAGTTAGCATCTTCCCCGGGACTGCAGCCCTTCTGTACACAAATGTCACCTCAAATAAAGGAACATTGGACACAAAAGGGAGAGACCTAACATCCGCCGTAGAAATGCTCTTTGAACAATCCCACACACTCTCCGTGAAGTTCCAGGAGACAGCACTTCAAGCTGGAGGTTTTCCATTAGAAAGACAAGAAAATTTATAGCAGAGAGAGTTTGTCACAGTTTTCCCTAGTCGGAGTTTAGTGTTACCGCATTATGCGACCGTTTTATTCTCAATGCTTCCATCTTACCTTTCAAAAAGCTCAGTGCTTCTTCCTGTCAAAAAAAGAAGGTGAATGTTCRTGCAAATCTCCTTTCTAAATATTGACGTTGGACCCTGCCATTTTAAATTGGATATCTAAACTTCAGTTGATTGAAAACGTGGCACACATTCGCCCTCAGAAATTTCATACAGCTCCTAATCTTAAAATCTGTTCCAAATTCCTATCTCAGAAAACTTTCCTCTTTTCAAATCTTTACTGGAGAATGAAAAGGAAGYGCAGAAGAGATATGTTTCCCATAATGTCGTAATTTCCCTGAGTTACAATGGTGTAGCAGACAAAACTCTAAACMTGAGGTATAAATTCTGCTGGCATCCAGAATGTCAGTGACAATCCAAGCTAAAACAGAGACTCCACAACTGCGTTCTGGAGCTCTCTTCTGTTTTAGCTTACATACTGGATTTTATAGTATCAAAATGATCATCTTCCCTCTCTTCCATTTTGTATTTCTTCTATACCTGGAGTATAAAAACTGAAAATTAGAAATCCTGCAGCATAACAAATAAGCATGCGATTCAAAGGTAGAAACAGTTCACATATGAGAAAAAACAATCTTACATAATTGACCATTTTAGACTGCAAGCACAGTTTAAATTTAATGACTCAAAAATGGATAAAATGAATTTCAGAATTGTCCATAAAAAAACATAATTTAAACTTACTTTTTTYCCCCCATTTCAGGTCTCCTAAAGTGGCAGAGCACTGGTTCTCACTCCAAGTGATGCCCCAGCATGAAGCCAGCCTATAGAGGGCCAGTAAGTGCTGTGTTTTACTATGTATGCATGGCTTTGGAAAGTTTTTTTTTTTTTTTTTTCATTGTTGCTGTTGTTACTTTGAGTTTTAGTTATTTATATCCAGGGAGGTATAAAATGTCATGAATTAAAAAAAAACTTTGCAAAACCATGTCATAGTAAAATAGGACGCTTACCTGACCCTCTATAGACTGGCTCCATTTCCTAGAGCTCCATGATTGTTGAAACATCACTGAGCACAAGCCGAGTTGGGACATCTCTTGGAGAGTGAGCCAACAACCCCACGACTCTGGAGGACCTGCAAGAGGAAAGAAAGCAAAGTTCATTCCCAGTTTTGTGAGGACCACCACTATCTTACTGAGCATTTGGACTAATAACCTGATCTGAAGAGGTATTGAGAATGCACTTATATGGTGGTTCTTCATTTTATTTTGAAATGCTTGGAGACAGAAGCAAGGATARTAGTGAATGGAGTTATATACAATGAAAAGAGAAATTTGACAGATATGAGTTTTTTCTGCTCCCTTCAGCRTGAGGAAAACACTCCTAAAATTAGTTTACTGGTGATCAGTTTACTGGTTTACTGTGAGGAATTCCATTATTAAAGAAATTTATATAGGTTTAAAATATTTAACTCCAGTTAAGTTTGCAAAGGTAAAAGCTGCAGAATGATCTTAATATGACATGCCAGAGAATCTTGAATCCAGTCTCTGTGATGTGAAAACTATGGAATATGTTTAAATCAGGAAGAACCACAGAACATCTGGTCCACACATTCCCATGGACCAAATGCTTCCCAGGAATCAAAAATCATCTGCGCACCTGTAAGGTGATAGAAAGAATGAAGAGGATTTGGTCATTACCTACACCTAGAGGCCCCAAACAGCAAGAGATTTGTGAAATTAGCCTTCTCAGAAGATCCTGGAAAGGAATGGTCATATACTGTGCTATGTTAAGAGAAAAAAAAAGAAAGCAAAAGACAAATGCCTGCCCTCTCCAAAACACCATTTCTGCCTAACGTGACTGCAACTACGATGGAGACACGAACATCATATTGTTCTGAGAATGKAATATCTCTAGGAGCAAGAGTACACGTCTAGCTCCAAAAAGCCAGTAATCCCAGAGACTTAAGCATCTGATGCCCAGAAACTTGCAGCTCACACTGGATTTCCTAAGTGCAGTTCTGCTTGGTTCTATTGCTCTTTTCTGTCAACTCGATCACTCTCTCTCTGCTTTGAATTCCTTCACCTAACACTGCAAAGAATAAAGACGCTCTGTTAATACTGTTCTTGCTACTGAAACGTACTCATGAGTGTTTTCAGTATACAAGCATACTTTTTAAGTATACAAAACCCGTATATCAAATACAGTTGTATCAAATATATGCAGACATAAAGGAAGAAGGCGGCCAGCAACACTCTTTGTTAGGTCCAAAAATGTTACATTATGAAACAGAGTTCTGCAACTTACATGAATATTTGTTTCAAATTCAGAGGTGAAGTGTGAAAAAACTGCAAGAGCTGGGAGAGAAACTAGGATTGCACCAAAAAAATGTCGAGGCAGCCAGCCAGAGATGACCTCCAGGAGACGCTTCGTGCAAGCCATCACCTCCTCCAGAAAGAAGGCCATTCTGCAACAAAGCACAGGACAGACCAAGGCGTTAATTTTAGCGCATCGCTTCGGACATCTACCTTTGCCTGCAGTTCTGGAACTTGGAAACCTTCCTTCAGGCTGTGCCAACGAGCTCAGCACGTTGCACCATGTACAACCTGCTGATCTTGGGAAACAATCTGGGCTTGCTGCAAAAGGACCAGTTGCTTGCTGCAGTGAGAGGGTTAAAGAGGTTAGTTAAAGCACCATCACTAATGTTTGAAAAATGGGGCTGTGCATCCTCCTAGCAGATTATCCATGCAGAGGCATCGCAAATGCCCGCATTTTCCACATGATGATCAAAACCAGTTCTCCCAGTCACAACCAACTTGTAGAAATGCCCAGGTGAAACGGAGCGGTCGCTGCCTCGTGGCCGGGTCCTGCAAGAGAGGGCAGGTCGCGCGCAGTCCCCGCTCGCTGGGAGTGATCGTCTCTCTCCTTGAGCTGCTGGCAAAAGAGAGGCCAAACCTGCAAAGTGCTGAAGGAGCCAGACAGAGAAAGGGGAAGAGTCCTTGAGAGCAATTTAAGAGACATATATTTCTTATATGAGAGCATTTCTAATGGTTGAAAGTATGCTTACTGCTTGAGGACACTGCACATAAACTGTTATTTATCTGTGGAAATAAATTGTTATTTATCTCAGGTAACTTGCTTCCTAAAGTGCTGAAACATTACTCATGCTAGAARAATTGCACCTGCCGTTCAAGTTTCTTATTATTTTATTAAGACATAATAGGGTAATGTGGTGGAGTAACCTTCCTACAAAGCAATTTCAGTGGGGATTAATATAATTATCAGACTGTGCCCAGGTTTTTCACTGCCCTATCAAAGGATTCCTGCCTTCCTACGACTTCCCTAACCTACTCGAAGGAGAGAGAGGCTGTAACGCATCTGGGCAGGAGCGATCCGTGAAGCTCCTACACTCTGTGCCAAAGCACAGACACCGTAACAGTGAACATGGAGCAGGAAATCACCACTGCTTTTGGGACAGAGATGCTCTCAAACAGTGAGAATGTCTTTGCCRTAAGAGCAAACATAGAACAGGAAATGCGCATACTTCAGAGTTGCAAAAGTCATTCCCTATAACACAAAACCAACCACTCATTTTGAAGATTTYCTGTAATACTTTTTGCCATGGGGTAATGCCATGTAAAAACCTTATACAAAACGGTGMAAATTTGAAGTCGTTGAAAGCAACAGTTTCTTCCCCTTCCAAAAATGCAGAGTTGGTGAATGATATTTTAATTCTCAGGTCTAGACTTCTATGAATTTTTCAACCTCCCACTTTCTCCAGAAGCTTCAAGAACTCTTCATTCAGTTCTGGTTTAATAATACTCATCTCTCTCTCTCTCTCCCTCTCTCTCTCTCTCTCTCTCCATTTTTTTAAATATGTGAATCATTTTACTGCATAGAAAAAATAAATTCGGGAAGCACGGCAGACCCTGTAATACACCACTTTCCCACAAGAGGGTGGTAACAGATTTCTTAGCACCTCACTTAATGGTTGCCATTTGAGGCACAGCCATTTAACAAAACTAAAAGCAGCTGTATTCTATCATAAAAAGAAATTTCTAAGAAAGCATAGAAAAAGGGAACTGGCATATAAATTCAAAATAAATGCAAAAAAAAGGAGGAAGTTTTTTTTTTTTTTTTTTTTTTTTTTTTTTTTTTTAAGTAAGTATAATATACTGTCCTAACGTAGCTGCCTCCACCATCAATTACAGCGCTATCCGTGTCTTCAGTAGCAGCCAAGTTAGGCCAGTATCAAATACTTCTGAAAATGCCACCCAAGTTCATGCAGCTAAAAATAAAACTCAATTCTCCTCCCGTGTTCGAGTCAGGATTAGCGTTTGCAGGGCGAACGCGTGAGAAATGAGGCCCAAGTCGGCTCCAGGACAGGACGCCCCGGGCCAAGCTTCCAACCGTGGCTCCTCCACAGAGCTGTGTGCGAAGATCCCTGCAGATGCAGAGCTGTCACCTCTGCCCAYGCTCGCTGCCATCTCTCGTGTTGTTCTCATGTAGGTTGGCATGGAAAGCAGCTCTGTGGCATGCAGAGTGTGACAGATCCCCAGCGCAACTCATGTCTCTCACCCCAGCCTACACGGGGACGGGATGGCGCAGGGAGCTTTTTGCCAAGCCTCCATGCCAGGACAAATTCTTGCGGGAACTATAGCAACAAATCCATCAGYAAACCTGATCAGTTAATCCTGCCATGAGGACACTTCTTTATTTAGGCAGCTGAGGGTTTGAAAAAGCCAGCACAAATTCCAGAGCAACTCCCCATCTCTCAGCGATAACGTTTACCTTGTTGCATCGACTTCTTTTCAGGCCAGAATTTATTGCAATTCTCTGCACTCCGGAATCGAAACAAATGAAATCCCATCCTTCATCAAACAGCACCAGGCTGCGAAGGCAGCAACAACTCTCCCGTTGCAGGAAGCAAGAACCACATTAAATCCAGACAGCAGCAAGAGCTGCAGACAGATTTAATGGCTACAGGGCAGTATCAGTAAATAATGCAGTGTCAGTGGGTAGCTCAACAGGACTTAAATGCTAAAGCATCTACGATGTTTACACAAGCTGGAGTTCAAATTAGTAACTTCAACATAAATGATTAATGGGTAATGGAGAATGTTACCGTCATTTCTGTATTTACTGGCAGTTTAAAATCAATTCCCATCTTTCAAATCAAAAGCTTCTGGCATGGCAACAATTTGGTGGATATTAAATACCAAAGTCACAGATGTTAGAAATAAAGGCAGAGGGAATACATTGTTTTCCCTTGCATCAACGCACTCCATAAGTCATATCATTAACAGAGAAGCTTCATTTAGCTCTAGCTTCAGCAAGCAATTTTTGCTCTTGATCAGTCTCTCCTGTAGGGTGCTATCCGAAGCAAGGCATGTTTTTAAACATTTCTCCTTCTAACAAATTTTACTCCAGAACAAGAACTAGATGGCAGATCTAGCTCACAAAAGCCCCAGGCAGATGGTTTTTAACCTACACTCTCGCAGAAGCATTCCTGTGGATCCCAAGAGAAATCTCAGACTTGGTCTCAGGATCTATGACAGTTCCCAAGACATTTTTATAAATTACCTGAACTCCAAGACCTCTTATGCTCCACCTAAACTCACAAAAGTCAAAACAGTCGCATTTCAAGCTGATAGATGGCCACTCTTTGCATTTTAGTAACAGATCTGGAGATGACATATTCCACATACTTACAAATCAAGCACTACTTTTTGCATAGTTTTACACAATTCATTTAGGAGTAGCACTTGTGATAACAGTGAGAATTTCATTTATAGACACTCCAATGCTTTATCATCAAACACATCAGAGAAGAAAGAAAACATCCTTCTCCTTTCTAAGCTTTGTCCCAATCAGACCTCAGCGATAGCAGAATTAGAAGTTCTAATTTATTTCTCGCTTAATAGGCAGTGGCAGCGTCTACTCCTCCCATCATTCCAGCTGGACTAAAGGTCTTGGCCACAAGAGCTGTAGTGAGTACTTCCTCCTTTGACTACTGGATTCAATTAGAAGTTCAACTGATTTAAACTGATTTAAAGAGAGGATGTTACACATCACGATAATGAAAACACAATGATGAACTTAGGCAAGAATTTTCTGGTGCCAAAATAATCCCTTTCCTGAAATGCTGGGGTTGTGCCCACCATTGTAGTCCAATCTCCTCTCTCCAGATATCTCTGTGGTGTTCTGTGATTGTCATTCGGGATGACATTTCTGTACGGGAAGTTCTGCGCTGGGTCTGGGTAAAACTGGTGGTCAAAGTGGGCTGGTAGATGCCCGTAAGCTGAATATTTCTTAAGAGAAGTCTTTTGCTTTGCTCAGTGGAAGTGAAATGAAACAAAGGCATAACGGTACCTCCTCCTCTTAATGCTGTATTCGCTATATTTAAATAGAGGAAAGAAAGAATAGTCTGTAAAACCTTCACCTGGTGATATAAAGGATAGTGTAGACCTTAAGCAGTGKGAATTCCATGCAGCCAGCTAAGCACAGTCATGGCAAGCCCTTTCTTCATTAGAAAAGAGGGAGGAAGTGGGAGGCTGTTACACATGGACATAAATGCATGCCATGTGCTGCAGGGAATGGAGTGGCCTGAAAGCAGATTTATTCACCRGCAAATAAATACATAGCATTAATTCCACAGCACAGGGACCAGTTCCTACTAACAGKAGTCCTGCAAAACAAAAACAAACAACAAAATATTATAAAGCCACATTTAAAATTGGGAGACTAGTAGAGACCTCCTGAGAGTTTCACTTACAAAGAGTGTTCTTCTACAGTGCGGTATGAGGCTCTTAGAGAAAGTATCCTGGGTGGGAGCTACACAGATCTGTGATGATCCTGTTTTTACACTTTAGAAATTCAGGTCAATGTTAGATCCAATGACCAGAGGTAAACTAAATACAAATTGCATCTCWTTTACCAGGGAAAGATCACAAATGTAAGCGTGTGGTAGTAAGTTCCTGAGAACCAACTTCTTGTAACATTGGGGTAAATATGGAGTGATTGGAGGATGCTTCTCCCCCACCAAAGAAAGGAAAGCCACGTCCCACACAGGGCACCTGCAGCAGCAGCAGACATTGCAACGTGTCCTAYCTGCCCGAACTGCCTCTGAGTCTCCTTTAGGATAAGGCCAATCCTTCTTACTGTCAACTCATTGTTTATTGAAAATCTATTGTTATTACACTAGATGGGGCTACCTAGGTTTTGATAGCTGCTTATAGAGCTGCTTATAGCTGTTCTCCAGAATAAGAGGTTTCTTAACCTCYTTTTCAAATCAGAATAAATCATGAAAGATTTATTAAAAATTTCAAATTTTTATCTGAGACTTAGGARTCACCTTAGTTCATAAATGCTACTGACTTTAAACAATGTGTATAGGCTAGTTTGGGAAGTAAAATTCAGGCTCATACAAATATTAGAAATATTAGTGGCAAAGACAATTACTGTTAAGCAAAGATTATCAAGCCACTTAATGTCACCTTGGCAATGCTCCCAGCTCACTATCAGAGAGCTGGCTTTCAGCAAGGAAGTGGTRCAATGAATCTAAACCTCTCCATGCACAACTCAGACAAAACTGCTTTGCAAACTCTTAATTATACCAGCTGCATTTTGAAATAAGCATTTTCTCTTCTCGTTAAGAAACGCCCGAACCAATTACTGAGCAACACTGATGTAAAAGCTTRCCTGCACACCTGTAAACATTTCTCAGATTGTAGCATTAATTTTTGATAATTGTATGAAAATAAAAATAAAATAAAAAGATAAAGGCAACGTCTGCATGCAACACTGGAAAATAAGAAAAACAATAACAAAAAGCTTGATTTTTTTTCTCTGAAACAGAGCACTGATATGGCTCTAATGCTGGACTGGTGCAAGAAAGAACACAGGGCAACAGTTAATATACCTTAAGATATGTTTAAGCATCTCTCAGTAAATACCTTAACACTTAATTTGACAAGTTTCTAAAAAATCAAAAGCACCATACTATTCAAGTTGTCATAATCAATATAACTATTAAAATACTACRTTTAGAAACATTTCCACTGTCTACTCAGATGCCAATTCAGCGTTAATCTCTCTGCTCAAAAGTGCCACCTTCCTATTTGTGCAAATATACTTGCATGTTTTTGTATGTGCATTTGAGTTAGAAGCTTAATTCTAGGACTGAAGTAGTAATTTAGTATTTTTTAGCTGACCCTCACAATACAGAATAACAGTGCAAATTGCTATTTATTGATACTTCCTTCTGAATCACSAGCAGAATTTTTCTGACTTGTAGTCAGAAGAACATTTTAACTTACACATATCTTACAGGTTTGCAGAACTACTAGCAAGGACATTCATTTCCACACATCGCCTTTATTACCTGGTCTTGGGACAGAAAGAACTGCAATAAAATGAGCGCTAGGGGATTTGAGAAAATTGGTCTCACGAGCACAGACAGACAACTTACTAGTGAGTCTATCAACAGCGTTAATAACAAGTCATGCTGGCATCTATAAAAATCAGACAACACACCTGCAGCACCCCGACTGTTATKGGAGATATGAACACATACAACTAACATTATTCCCCAAGTATTACAGCTTGTCAGAGYGAGTTCCTAGGATGCTGAGAGACAAGTTATCTCAAGCCAACCAGCATCTTAATTCACATTGCTATTGCAAGGTATTCTTTGACTTCCTTTACCTAATTGAGATGACAAGGGACAGCGCTTCTATCAGGATGGCGATGACGAAGACCACAACTGCTGCTGGCGGCGGAGGGGTCGAGGCCATCCCGTGCTTCAGGAAACACGTGATGGAGAGTATTAGGAAGACTGTGGTGGAAAGGAACACATCCAGGAGCGAGCTGAAGGTAGCACTGGCGAAYGTCTTCACCGGAGCATTTTTTATGACCTATGGGCAAGACAAGGATTGATGGAGGAAAYGGATGAACAAGAATAAATGCTCCTATGCTAGGCTTAGCCTTAGCATAAATGGTAGATCACAAAAACTAAGAATAATGCAAAACATTTTACCATTTATTAATTCAGCGTAAGCATGGTGCTAAAGAACAAGCAACTCTCCTCCCTCAAAACCAAAGAAACAATTCCTTTACTATCAGTTCGCTGACAAGAGCTTCCACTCAGAACAAATACCAGCAACATTATTCCAGGTGATTTATTATTACTTTAAAGTCCACTAACATTTTTTAAGGGATGTTAGAATACAGATAAGGCATACAAAAATTGCCTATGCTTTGCAAAGAAGCATAAAAAAACACTAACAAAGAAAGCTAGATGTTTTCTTCACAGATTCCAGCAATTTCACTTTTTTATATATGACAATAGATTTTATAATAATAATTCTTAAAATCTGCTTCCAATAGCTCAGTTCAGAAAACCCCTACAGGGACAATGACTTGCACGTTTCAGAGTTCACGTCTCCCCGACGAGATGAAGAGAAACTATCAGAACGCTAAACTGATGCAGCCCAGGACATGAAGTTCTCCTTGTCCCGACCCCCTTGCCACACGCTCCCCTTTGCAGTTTGTGCTGGCCCTAGAGCTCGCGCAGCTGTGGAGCGAGCTGGTTTGAGGGCCAATCCAGCTGAAAACTAGATCTGGAGCTCCACGTCCTGCACTACTCCAATGAGCCCAATCTTATGAGTGTTTCTGTGCCCAAGGGAGAAGGCAAGAATGTGCAACGTGCAGCGTTTGTGCCTTTCTGTGTGGTATGGGGTGKGGGAGAGCAGAGGAAGAGACTCTTTGGGCTTAAAAGAAGCTTAAGCTCTTATTCCAGATGATCTAAAACAGAGCTTGCAGCTCCTCTCCCTTTGCAGTCTTAATACTTCCAGTTTTAAATTTAGTCATCTCAGATACTGCACGGCACAAAGTCACGGCAGAAAGTAAGTTCCAAAGAAAAATGTAAAGTTCGTTATCAATGTTGCCAAGAGGTAGCCCAGTTTCAATCCTATGGTCTCGTCGTGTGGTTTCAATCAGCAATTTCTTTTCCTGCTCAGAACACGATCTGCACTCAGCAATGTTGGAAAATGAACTTGTTGCTAATTTGCACCTCTCTGCAACCCAATGCAGTCAGCTAGCAGCGYTTCAGCACAAACTAAATTACCCTTCAGTTTGAGCTGTAGCTGAATCCCCTTAGTTCACACAGACAGTTACATAAAATTGAATTAGGGGAAGCAGTGCTGTATCCAAATGGGATAATRTTAAGGATGCCTTAATACTGAGTGTTAAGCAGTGCCTTAAATTCCAAACAAGAACAGGCTACGCCAGCTCTCAGGAATGGCAGCTGCTGAAAGACACTGAACACAAACCAAGGATGCAGCTGACAATGTAACTAGAGTGACTTRATTACATTAATAGGTACATTAATAAGTTGATCTGCATAAGCTGGAATACTACTGCTTTTCTTTCTGACCTTCTGTTTTTTGTATATTATGTGTAAACTGTACAGGCAATCATGTGTATGCACACATATATCCACAGACTCTCATATGTATTATGGCATTAATTTCCAGCACACTCTAATGATTTATTAAAAAGGTCAAAAAGTATTAAAGCAACACTTGTTTTCTTCTCTTACTGCTCCTGGTCTGCCTAAAGCATTAAAATATAACTGATAAAAGTGACAATCGTGTAGGTAAAAAAAGTGAAATTTGTTCTTGTGTATCTCGGTGCGTTATGAAAATGCATTCCCAGGCAAGTACTGGCCTAGACTCAGGGCACTGGTGCATGACAGGTCAACTGAAAAGAGGAGACTATTCCAGGGGCAACAGTACCAATTATAGATCTCATTTGACATTTCTCAACTTTTGTTATCAATTGCAAGTCAATGTGTTAAAACCAGCACAAGTACAAGTAGAGATAGTTGCCTAGACAGAGTACAGCAGGAAATCAGCTCCAAGAGAGACGCACCTCTTCCTGATAGCTCGTCCTGTAGGTCATCTCCAAATCCTGATCTAAGAAGTTGAGGCTCAGTTTGTTGATAGGCGGTTTAAAGAAGTAGTCTTTCATGAGGCTAGAGAGAAAAGAACATCAGGATCAATTTATTCCACTGTAATTCTTTCAGAYTTCACTGTTCTGTGGTTTCCACCTCCAGCGACTCCGAGGTTTGGCTGCCTTGGCTTCGAAGTTCCCGCTGGGGAAGTTAGAGCATTCTTTGCTCTAACTTTCTCTGGTACTGATGCTCTCCATCTATATTGCTAGATCRGTCAGAGAAAATCTTTTACAGAAACCTGCTGGAGCAAATGTTTATATTTTCAAGAAGACACTAACAAATCCCTTGAGGAATATAACAACCAAAATCACAAATGACTACAGGTAACCTTTACTGGCCTATACTACAGTTAACTGCTGCTAYAGAGATATGAATTTATGGGACGTGGGACCATAGATATTATACTAGATAGAACATCTTACAGTATAAACTTTATAAGCTTTTTTTGGTGTGGTTGAAGTGACTTTCTTCCTCCACTGAAGCTCACGCTGATATTGTGCTTATCTAAGGGTGCAGGAAGAAGATCCCAGATTGACAGTGCAACAATAAAGAGAAGGAATCAAAACTACCAAATTAAAAGGGAGGCACTTCTGATGCCAAACTACCACCCTGTGCCAGCTCCATCTCAACAGTCATCCGTCCCAAAGAGGAAGGTCCCAGTTTAGTTGACTAAACACAGTCAAGTTCTGAACCTGTTTCCCATGAGGCGCTAAAGCTTCTGCTGCACAAATGAGATCTGTTTTCCATGAATCAAGTAAGGCTGGAAAGTGGGAGATGATASAGACACAGACAGACAGACAAGGAGTTCAACAGGAACAGGAACAGGAAGCTGACCCAAGTAGGTGCCTAAGAAAAAGGGTTATAAAGAAAGTAACTTCTAGGAAAGGTTCATATTCCCAAGACTCTACTTGGTACTTCTAAAGAGAGCTTTTGTAACTACAGTCATAATTAGCACATGAGTACTTGGTTCTTAGACTTCAAAAGATTTATCATCTTAGTGATAAATAAGCATTCTTGGAAAMAAAAATCTAAGAAGAGAATTCCGTGAGGACATCCTCAAAGAGATAATTTTAAATATTTTGTACTCTTACCACCTTTTGTGCTACTCTTTTTAAATATATAACATGCAGATTACAGTGAACAAAGCATGATATTCTTACAGTGGCTGTAGAAAAGCCAGCTCAAAAGCTCAAATGGTACAGTGTTTGCTAAATCTATACAATCAGATTCTAAAAAAAAAAAAAAAAAAGCAAAACTATAACATCTATGAAAAGGATTCTTGTATAATGAAATAGAACATAACAACAGAAATGTGCCCCACTAACACTGTTTTTTTTTWTTATTATTATTTTTARAAGAAAGCTGGCACTATGTTAGCATCGCCTCCTGGGCGAGCAGAGAGCCCAAAGGCATCCTGGAGAGCTCGCAGCTGCACACGCAGACCCCACAAAGAGGGTGGGAGAGGAAAAGTCTCCCATTTTCTACCAGCCAGCTCCAAGACCCCAGCTCACCACTGATCCGTTTGCACTAGCACAAAACTAAAGCAGCCATTTGCCAATATTACTATTTAAAAGGGGCTTCACGTAAGAGGAAAAAGTTATAGACGTTTGGATTCCACCTCCCAAAACAGGAAAAACTCATATTCTGTATTGGAACATAGTTACCAGACTTAAGACAAACARTAAATATGTTTTATAGTGGGGGATGGAGAATGTTTTGAAAATGACTTATTACATGCAACTTACCAGTAAAAAATGGTAAAAAGGATTCATGTAAAATGGTGGGCTTAATCCTTTTTGCATAGACCTAATTAATCAGAAGATTATTTTTGGAAAGTTATGTTTACATGAACTGAACTCAGCAGAGAAGTTTCCCTAGCAACATGAAATGGCCCACTTAATATGGAAATGGTGGATTTTCAATTGAGGAAAAAATCTCTGGGCTTTGACTGATGTCAAACCAGAGTCCTACTTTTTCTGAATCAGAAAGAATTACTGGCGTTGTAAGGGAAGCAGGCTAGTGGCAGGAATTGGCATACATATTTATGGTAACTTAACATTTGAGTATCCTAGTTATATTAAAAAAAGAAAAAAAATGTTCTTTCAGATTTCCGCAAATATTTTAACTTGTATATATGTATGTATATATGAGACATACATATATAAAATTAAAACAAAATGTTTTAATGTCATTACAAAATGTAATGACAGAAGTTTGGAAAGGCAGAAAGTTAGCAAAAGTTAAATGGGTAGGAATGATGAAAAAGAACAAACTAAGTAGTATGTAACAAAAACACAATGTCCCCTCTCTTTCACTTCTCCCTGCTTTGGTCATGTTTTCAATTAAGAAGATTCTGTCCCTGTTCCAAACAGCCTGGAGTACATATGATCACACACTTCCAAGGATATTTAAATAAAATGCACCTAATCCGAATGGAAGTACTTCTGTTATTGAATCAAAAAAAGGATTAGCCATCAAAAATAACAAAATTGAAGTTATCTGCTTAGTTGATCCAGTTAAATCGTTGCCATAACAAGGGAGCTGTGGTTGCGTGCTTACAAAAAATTACATGCTCCTAAACTTTAGAGAATATAATTTCCTTTGCCCAAAAGAAAAGTTTTGTTTGTTTGAAATGGAGAGGGGCAAATTTTACAAAATTCTGTAGGCAGCTAGTAGGTCCAGGAGAATTCAATCCTAGTAATTCTGCTTCCAAGCCAAATACAATTTCTAGGTATTAATAAATCACATGTCATCATGTGGTGGTTCTGGTATACAAAAATGTGAATCTTTGTGGCTCAAATTCTATGTTATATTGTTAACTGCAGATACATGTATATACACATATGTGTCAGTGTATATATATATATTTATATATGTATATGAAGAATAATTGTTCACCATGGGGAAAAAATGATGAAAAAAATGGCTTTACAAATTCCTGAACAGAATGTTTTTGATGTCACRTTCCTACTGCAGTTTCCAAACTGAATACAGACCAAGTTTGGAAAACATACAACATGTTTTAACATCTCAACAATAACAGACAAAAAGCAAATCAAGATACACAACCAGTTTTATCAGTTTCTCTCCTCTGTAGGATTTTTATGTTATGCAACCTGTTTTTTTCTTACCTGTCTTCTTTAATCACATCCACAAAGTGAGCATCTGTCTTTTCTCTGATGTTTTTAAACCTCAAAGGAAGGAGAGCCGACTGATCCAGACTCACTCCCACCCATCTTCCTTTCTCTTGCAACATTTCGTAAAGGGAGGTCTGACTATTGCTCAGTTTTTCTTCCTGTGGAGGACTCAAAAGCCCATTTTGAGTCTTTGGATTATGTCCACCTGGAGCCTGCTTGACAAAAGCAAAATATACATAGGAAATATTGAATGGCTGACAAAGGACAAAGAAAACTGAACAGATTTCATGGAATAAACATTACAATTAGTTCTCTCATCAGACCATATATTATCATACTGAAATTCTAACTGGCCATGTCACAAATGCAACTCTCTACTGTTTTGAAATCATTCATACCTTCTGCTATAATACACAGGCTTATTTAGCTGTTGTCTGATGACATTTATGTCCCAAGTTTCAAGACACTAGAATACAAAATAAATTTTCCACACAAGAAATGAAGATCAGCCCAAACTTGATTACTTTCAAGTCAGGATTCTTTTCAAAACCTTTTTAAATACTTTGTTACGCTGTGCTCTGTCAYGAGTCAACTTACTCTGCTGGCCTAACTGGTCCTTCTCCTGACTTTTTAGAGTCCTGTTGCTCTCCCAAACTTCCCTCTTTACATGCTCTATTAAAACAGCCCCTTTATAYGTCTCATTATCCTATTAAAAATTATCATGCACCTGAAAACTCACRCTGTCTTCTCCGACTAAAAAAATACCTTTTCCTTCTGGTTTTCTTCTACCATTTTTAAATCGTGACACCAGCTTGRAACACAGCTTAAGTGACAGTATTACCAATTCTGCCTTGATTGATTTGAGAACAAAAATCAGTTTTGACGACAAATTCTTCTGTTTTCATAGAACCTGAAGCTTCTTTCACATTTTGGTTGATCAACACTATTATGCATTCAAGCAAGTCCAAGAAATTAAGACAACATTATCAGCCTTAAAGTGAGCTGCAGGTAGTCAGGATCATATTCTATTTTTCAAAGTTAAACATATATCAAACCCTGCATATTTGACTGTTCACCTCCTCCAAGTCATATAATTAGTCATTTATCCTCCTCCTGAAACCCACTCACGACAGAAGTTTCTTCATTTCTGCCTCGACAGCAGCCAGCACAGCAGTGACTAGCTCCTCCACAAGACTATTATTGGATGCTACATTAGTGATTGTAAGTTGACACCATAAATATCATCGCCACCCAAATCATGCACTGAAATATGTTATTCAGATTGCAGGAACAGCCTGAAGTTAAGGAATAGCTGCTCTCTGGCTGCCCAGGCAAAAGTAATTCAAACTCCTTGTTCACCTATCTTGTAAAACAAACGTGGCACACAATTACAGTCTGGTGAAATTAAAGGAGAACAGGCAACTTCTTACCCATCATTGCCTATTATGTGACAAGAAGATGCTGGAAAAAAAAATCCCAACAGCATTCTTTTAACATAAGCATTCTTCATATCTCTTTTTTTTTTTTTTTCCAGCAAAAAAAGGCACCAAACATCTACTTTGGGTGTTCCAAAAATTTGTTTCATAAATAATACTATGTAAGACACATGGAGCAGCAGAAGGCTTTTACCCTGAGTGGAGAAGACTCAAAGTACATGGGCTTGATTCCCTCTAGCTGTCATGACCTCAGGCACTGAAGGAAGCCCCACTCTGTGTCTCGTGTCCTCGCAAAGTGCACTGGAGGGAACTACTGAAGCTGCAGGAGGAGGAGGAGGGGGTTGAGCTACACTTCCTCTTCTCTCCAGCACGGGAGAAATGCAGGATGGACCCTCGGGCTGTCCAAACCGAAGCGAGAACCTGCAGGGCCGCATGTTGGATGCAACGAGAAGGGATTCAACGTCTAGTCCCTGCCACCACTCACAACTGTTGCTTTGGCATCTTGCAGGTGTTCTAAATAGAGCAGCTGCCCAAGTGTTTTGGTCAAGTTTTGTGGTTACTTTGGGGTGTGGCCAGTATTTTATTAAAGAACATAAGCAACCAAAGAGAAAGATGGTTTAGCAAAGCCTAACTGGGCAAAAGCAGGCCAGGATTCTTGGCCTGGAGAGGTGCTTCCATGTGATGAAGGGCTGCTCTCCCGGCAAGCCAGAGGCACGAGAACTTTCACAAATAAAAGGCCACCAGAATCTTTTCTAAGGGAARAGATTCAGCAACTTAAGGACAGATTCTCTCATAACTGGGACAGATGACCTAGGTTATCCAACAAGAACATTTCTAAGGAGCACGTGACATACAGCAGTGCCAGAGGAACTTCTTTCTTTTTGAGGCAAGGAGTAACAGAGGAAAACAAAGAGAACTGCCAAACCAGTTGATATTATTGAAGGTTCTTCTGTTTTTCTTTTATTTTTCCCTATTTTACACTAGAGATTATATTTGCTTTGGGTGCACAACCTGAGGCCTAGGAAAATGAGGGCCACAGTTATTCTTCTATTTTATTTATTTATTGTTTTTGAATGAAGGAATCTTCCGTTTTTCATCACCCCTACAGCAGAYGACATTCTTGAAATGCACTAAATGACAGAACGCAAACTTATTTTTGTGTGTGTGAACAGCTTGAATATAGGATATGCACTCTCAAAAGCTGTTTGCTTTCCCTCCCTGATCTTGGAATTCATCTGAAGAAAGCAGTGACAATTTTCTGCTCTTTCAGAGAAGGTCAGCATGGACTTCACCTGCCCTTTTCTCTTTAGCTCTTCGGTAAAGGTTCAAATCCTTAAGAAAATTCTTCCCTTCAGGCAGCTCGAGGTTTTCCTGTGCTGTCTCCACTCTGTTAATCTTAACAGGGGAGGATTAGAATTTGAAACGGCTTGTGTGTCAGGAGAAAATCCCTGTTTAATAAATGTCATTAGCCSCAATGTTACTGTGGTTTCTGATGGCAACGGGCCGTACAGTTCTGAGCTCTCGAATTCAGTGCACCCTGTGACAATTTCCTCTCATAGAGGGACAGGAAAGCTCCAAAGGAAGACAGGACACAAGGAAGGACTGAAGAAGTGGTAGAACATACATTTAAGGAGATGAGAGAGGCAGACGGAGAACCTGGATATTACAAAGCCGACACGAAGTGCAGCATTGGGCGTGGGGAAAGAAAGAACCTAGGGAGGGGCGAGTCAAGCTTAGGACCCATCTTCCTACGAAACTGGAGATTTTAAAGAAGATTTGGAAATCAAATGGCACAGTAATTTCTGTGCATGTACTCTCATTTAAACAGGCATCTGAGATTCACTGGAGAGGCGCATAACAGATCCGATTTTTACTAGCAGCAAATAAACAGAGCAAATGAGGGATATCTGACTTGGCTTCCAGTAGCAAGCTTCTTCAACTGAAATTAATGACATTTTATTCAATACTGTACAGATCGCTTCTCGCCAAGATTAAATGATCTGATTATTAAAATACAAGAAGCTAATACAGCTGCAGGGGAAAGAAATGTGGCCTAATATAATACATACCACTTTGGTACAGTRCTGTGAGGCTGTCTCTACCTCTGAGCTTACAGCTTAAGCACAAGGGACAGCAGGTCAGACACAGGCAGAACGCAGACACACAAACACAGGTTCATGTAACAGCTTCTCAGACAAGTGTTTGGACAGCACTACATGCAAGCAGAGTTTTAAAGACAGATCTGAAGAAATGGGATGGCTAACTCCGAGTATATCTGTAAAAATCCTCCCTGATAGAGGGAGGCATTAATATTTTGCAGGGAGACATTAATATCTTTTGGATAGAGGCATTAATATTTTTGGAAAATACAACAGGCAGGTGATGAGAACTGGCATCCACTCTGCATGTCGGTGGCAGTCTAATTTTCAGGAAAGAATAAGATGCAAAATGCAGAGCAGAGAGGCTATGAAGGGCCATGAACAAGATGACAAATATGTAATGTCTGGTACTGCAGGGAAAGTAGGTGGCTTTCCTGAGAATATCTAAGCAACCAGCAAGGAAAATAATCTTTGCAGCAGGACGCTGTATATRTAAGACTGCATTTAGCAGGGAGAAAAAGATGTGAAGAGCTTAGATGGTGACAGTTTCAGTCGTGTGGATGAGCAGGAAAGGTTGTGTTTTAGAGCTACTACATAGAAGAATTGGCCAGCCATAGGCAAGACTTGCAGCTAGGTGACCCTAATCTAGTGGTGTAAGTCAAGGACAGAGTGGTASTGGTGTTTCTGCCTCTTTCCTTGGGCAGCCTCAGCAGAATTTAGAGTTCGAAATACAGGTCCCTCTTGGTTTCAAACCAAGCCAACAAAATTATCAGTCATTCTGAAAATTTGTGTTGCCTCAACTACAGTTCTGAATTAAAAAAAAAAAATCAAATCTAAATCAGCTCTGCAGCTTAAAAAGGTTAAATAAAGCAATGCAATGCAAAAATTAGGAAGATAACTAAAGGAATGAGGGGAATGTGGTGAAGCCTAAATTACCTTAGTACTGTTTTTGTGTTCATCCTGACAACCATTTTGGATAGCTCCTTCTTCTATGCTGATATCGCAATGGGGAGGAAGGGTGGTACTACATGAAGGACAAGGCTGCAATGAGACAAAAAACATTTAGCCAGGAACATTYGGGTGCCACCATCTTATGCACTTTGTAATTTGGTCCACTGGTACATTTACTGAAGGATCTGAATGACATTGTTAAGCAGCTGAGTGAAGACTTAGCACAAAATACAGCAAAATTCAAAAGAACACAAGACACCATGACACACCGTTAATGGCATAGAGAAATGGAAAGCAGTAATTCCAAAACTAACAAAGGGAAATATCTTTTTTAACACAGCTTTATAAAACAGTGGAGCTCAGGCTACGGAATGTTACAGAGGCCAAATATTGAGTAAATATCATCGGAAACACGGAAACAAAAACATCAGGAGTTGTAATAGTTGTGGGTAACATTTCGGAAGCAACCTTAAATGTCAGCTTTCAGTTTTTCCCTCTGAGTTAAGAGGCRATCTTTTTGAGGAGTATTAATTCCCTATTTGTACCTTGCAAAGYTCTTCTAACTTTTCTCTAGCACTGGCCATATAGAGACCAGATACTGCACTAGATGGACCCTAGCTCATCCCTATTAGCAAGTCTTATGCTCTTAAAGTGTATTAGTTATCAAGCTTGTCAAACCCGGGTAGAGGCACACCAGTCACCAAGAGGAGCAGCTAAGCTGGGCACCCTGGACTACATGACAGTTTAGTCCTCTCCCTAAACACCTTGATAAAGCTCCCCCCAAGCAGCTYGAGTCTTGCATGCACCTTCTGTCCCAAGCTCTGCATCCAACGTGTCTCTCCTAGTCCAAAAACATGACAATTTATTCCCTTAAATTCACTCCCTGTGTCAAACACTAGCGTATTAACTGTTTCTGAGGATTGACTTTTCACTCAAAGCATCTTCCCTTTGCTGGTGTCATATCTGCAATTCAAGAATGGAGCATCTTAAATGTTAAGTTTGTTACAGTCATGGTTATGGTTCAGTATTCCAATGACTGCTAATCTACCTAATCAGCCAATAGTGTTCTTAAATTCTTTCATGAAGATTCTGGGCCTTCTTAGCAAGCAGATCACCCACRTGTTGCTCCTCAGGGACATGGTCTGGGTTGGGGTACTAAAATTACGTGGAAACAGATGAAGACAGCATGTGATTGGATTCTATTAAAAAAAGTCTAGGACAATATCATGAATGTCTTGATCAATTTACATAAAACAGTGTTAAACAGCTTTAAAACTGGGCATGACAATGAACTAACAAACCTTATTCCCTTTAAAATAAGAATATTTTAACCTCACTATCATTTTGTACCTCCCACTTTTCTAGATTTTTCTCTAGAACAGGAGTCATCTCCTCCCACGCTGATACTGTTTTCAGCTTTGTATTTAAAACAGTTGGCCTGTAAGTGATGCTTCTTTTGCAAATTTTATCTCCAGACCCTACCAGCAAACTGAAGACTTAAAAAGGCAAAAAAGAAGCCAACTCCTTAAAACAAAACAAAGAAACAAAATGCAACAACAACAACAAACTCTAACATGGATGACATGTGTTCCTTGAAGGTCTGGCCCAGCCTTCCTGGTCTACAACCATTCCTGTGACAGACTACCCAGGCAGAGAAAACACTGGATCTAAACTTCATCCACACTTGACAACTTGCTGGTGAGTTTGCAGTATCTGTAACCTGCGAGGCTTTGTTAAGCAAGTACCATTTGCAACTGCAAACATGCTCCAACCGTGATCACAAGACACACAGAGAAGTGTTTCTAAATACCTCAGTATTCTTGTGAATTGCATCCTCATCCTTATCTCACACACTTTGGTCCTGCATTGTACAGATGCTTATCAGACAGTACAGAGAGCTAAGTCGTGGTCATTCAAGATTCACTTCAGCATCCAGATGCTTAGGACAAGTCAGGCAGCACTATCTGCAAAGTGTTGTCTGACTGCTTGGATAATCACTGCCAAGACCTGCAGTGCTCATGGTGATGAATAAAAACAGGTACCTATAAGCATAAATTTCGGACAATGGTTGACAGGGTACCCACGAAGGCTGACACTGAGCAGGCACTTGTTTTTCTGCAGAAGCTTCTCTTCTTGAATTGCCAATTTTAGCTTCTCCTTCATTTATCTGGAAAGGCATGTTTGCACTTTTGCACTGTGCAGATCAGCTTTCAGCATTTAAACAGTAATTAAGACGTCAAGACGGTCTCAGAGTAAAAAGCCAGAGGAAGTGGGCCAGGCAGGCAACCAAACAGTGCGTGCCAGCAGCCTGTCTCAAGGTTACATACTCCTTGTTTTGGAACAGGGACACAACTGTGTCACCTTTCTTCAAAGTCATCTGTGTTTTAGAAAACACTTCCTGAAGGGCCAGCTGAATCTCAACAGCATACTGCATTTTGGACTCGGGTTATTTTAACAAGAAGTACCCCAATTTAATATCTAATAAATGTATTACATAAATGTAAACCTTGAGAGCAGCCAGGACAGTATGATACTTCACTGCCCTCCAGTTAAAGCTTCACTTTGCTGTCTGACATTAACAGGGCATACTTACTTCCTCCCACAGCAGTAACTTGAGTTTTACTGCTTTGTTTAATCCCTCCTCTTTTCACTCTACTCCATGCACTGCAGCCAGGGTCAATACTGAGCTCGGGAGCTCAATATTGCTCCACTTGGTATTTTATTCTTTCTTCACTATTYGGAGCAGATTGGTTTGTTACTCACTATTGCCAGAGCATCCCTTGAAAGCAACAGTGCAAGGTTGGCAGCCCAATGGCACTCGGGCCTCCCTGCTTTCCTTCCCTAACCTGGGAATTAGGCCACACTAATGGTATAGGGCTGTGCCACTCAGATGCCACCAGGATACCCACACTCATGCCGAGGGAGCCACAGGCAGAGYGAGGTGTCTGTGCCAATGCAAGCTGCTTCTCAGCCACTTGCTCGGAATCAGCCTCACCAGCTCCTCGGCCACGCAGCGAGCAGCACAGGCTGACTCAGTGGTTCAGATTCGTTGCTCTGCAGCAGATTTTCCTATCACCTTCACTGAAAGAAAAGCAAGAGCTGGAGAGCTGGCACGTCAGGGATGCCAAATACACTCTTTTTATATATGGGAAAAGAACAGGAATAGCAAAGTACCACCGACAGCTTAGGACCAGTCAAGTTGTACACAGTGCATACTCAGGGGAAGGAGCAAATGTGGCTAAAGCTGCTTCCTGCAGTCAGACACTCTTGGCTGCACCGCAGCATCAGCCGGCTGGCTGGCCTCACTGGTGATCCAGTATTTTGTGTCCAAAACTAAAACCAGGCACAAGCCTCAGCCATCCCTCCTAACCCAGACAACACACCTACAAACAGCAAAGGCATTTGCCAATTAACTCTGTCTGTTAATTATAAAATTTGTGCTGAAGAGATCCTCTCAGGAGKAAATTGAGATCTAATGAGATCTAATGATGGTGGAGTTCAGAAGCGTCATCTGTTGTTTGGGAAGTCTATTCTGCCTTGGAAGATTGAGAGTAACAGCAAAACAACACAGTAACACACAGTTTCACAGATTTACTTGTCAAGAGCTCCAGTGAGAGGTGTGAACATAACAAAATGTTAGCACTTTTCTACGCTGAATCCATACGAGTCATCGCTCTTAGGCATAGATAAACGTTCTATAGCGAGCAAATGCAGCACTGCCACGGGCTGCAGGAGCATACYAGAGCCTACCCCAAAACCTGTTATCTTCCCTTTTTTTTTCTCCTTGTTAGGGGAGAGGGAGGCACAGAGATGAGGGGCAAGGTAGAGTTAGTATTGCTTGCTACATACTCCTACGGCAGGTTCATAGGCACATGACATACATGATAGGGAAAAGCGGAAGCAGAACATAGTGAATGCAGAAAATCACAGAAATTACATCTGCATGAGGCACCAGTTCTTTTTTTTCCCCTCCTTATAAATTGAGACCATTGATAAAGAAGGTTGGATATCTCAGTCTTGAAATATAAACATTACGGAAATTCTTTATCTGAAATCACCTTTAAAAAGTGCTTATATTATTTCAGAGATTCCTTGTCACGCATTTGRCTTTGCAATTTTTTTCCTCCCACAAACTTTTATRTATATTTATATATAAAGAAATCAATAAGTAAACCATAAGGTTCTCCTCTCTGCTCATCTCTCATTTCTCGGTACAGTTTGAGGTCCACGCTGCTCAACTCTGGAACAAGAACTGACCTTGGGTTTTTCTGCAYGTTTGAGAGTCTTCGTTAAATCACCGGTGTTCTCAGCTGACGACGCTCCCTGGATCTTAGTTGCATCCCCCGACTCCAAGCCAGGAAGCAGAGCCTGTGAGCAGCTGCAGGGAGGGTCCTTCACCTTCTGACCAGATATCAGGTAAGTCTTTAAACCTGCAGAAAAGAAATGAACAGTCAGAATAGCTAAATAACAAAAACAGCACTCCCTTTGACTTCTCATGGAGGAAATATGGTAACTATTTAAAAAGGCCGATTTTCACACTATTCGATTATCATGGCTCGGGAGCACAGCTCAAAAACCCCAGATGCTAGTTGGGAACAACCATCAGGAATATAAAGATACTGCGAATAAAATGGTAGGAATTGTATCTGCCCAACATGTGCTGTCCCAGATACAAGAGACTGTTCTAGCACACTGCATCAGCCACGAATGACATGTACTTCTCTTATTCCATTTTTACCCACATACTTTAGAGAAAAAAGCTAAACCCTAACACATTCACTTCAAAACTGCAATCTGAGCTCTGACATTAACTCTTTATTTGGCAAAGTATTTACAGCCTGTGTTCACAGCCTGTTTTCCAGCAATATCTGAACCGATGCTGCAATTCTGGAAATGTGTATGTATTCCTCCCAGTTATAACCTCCATTTCCCAGAGAGATATCGTGCAGACTGATTAATGCTGGTAACACACTGAGGCAGGAAATGGGGTATAAGTGCTAGCAATTCTGATGGGTGTTCATCGTTAGGGAAGACTTCACATTTTTCAAGAACGACATCAATCTCCCTCTCGCACGTACACTCCCACACACACACTCCCTGCAACTGTTGCATGAACTGAAGCATAATTGGGAACGAGATCCRATATTGAAGACCAGGCTGGCAGTGCTGCTAAAAAAATACAATTTTATCAAATACAGCAGTATTCTGTTTTGAATATTGCCTTACTTCACAAAGGTGTTACGATATTTTGGGTCATGGTCTGAGCACAAAGACTGACAGGGAACTACTCATCCCACTTATTGATTCCACCCATAAGATCACGGAGGGCATCACCTCTTCAACCTGGACTCTGTCATTCTGCAGGGTCAGACTGGTGCCCCATGTGATTCTTGAACCAAATTCTCCCGGCCTTGTTTTGAAAGACAGATTCCCATGTGATCTCTCGCTGATTTTGTACTTGGCTTGGCAAACCACTGCTATTTTTTTGGCAAGGTACTCATCCCCCAGTTGTATTCAGACACATGACTATCACGATGATCACCAGCCTTCACTYGCCTCCTTGCTTAGGATGAAAGCTGCAACTAAATCTGCCAGGTCTGCTCTGCTCTGCTCCGCTGAAGACAGTGGTCCAGCAACAGCTGTTACTACGATCAAGTCATTTCCTAATAACTTTGTTCAGAGATTTAAAAAGAAGAAAAAACRAGAAAACACCTACATATTCTACAAACATTTTTTTTCTCTGCAATATGCAACACAGACAATGCTTTGTCTGCAACCTTCCCAACAAAAATAAGAGATCTAGTAAGAGCATTTCTCCCYGCTTCTCTGTTTATTCCGCTAGCAATTCAAATTCCTGCACCCCTCTCCACCACGTAGAGAGGTGCAGCCTCACGACCGTTTTACTTCAGGCCACCGGCTACTGGGAGAGCTTCTTGCCCCAGGTCAGGGGCATGAGCTCAACTTATTCGAGCTGCAGCCAGTCTCCATTTCATACCAGTTGTAGCAGCATTTGGACTTTACTCTGTCACTGCTGTTGCATTAAATCCAAAGCTGCTGCTGGCTTCTGCCCATGGGACTGTCTCTTTAAAACCTATATTCCTGGGGGCTGCAATTTAAGGAATTTGCCACAATCAGCTTACAATTATACGTTTGCCCTGGAGAAATCTAGAGCACTCAGTTCGCTAGTCCCTATTTTTAAAAGCTACCTTAAAGCAACTGCATTATTTTCCCACTGCCACTTTTTTTTTCTTTCCTTTTAAAGGAGGAAATAATATCGTTGCTTGTGCTCTGTGTTTTTAAGCAGGCATTTCTTAAACGCTCTCACTCGCTTTTACTGTGCTGCGTAATTATTTCATAGCTGTGTTGCATAAAGCAAAATTATCTCCGGTCTGAGCTCCGYGTGGAGGAAAAAGTGAAAAGACGACGGCGCTGCAGTAATTGAAAACTTGTTTGGAAAAGCAATACCCACACTCTCCCCAACCTTCGACCACAGCGGGTTGTGGCTCCTCCAGCCCACTCCACCCTTCATACTTCCTATATGCGGCCAGCCCTGCTAACCAAAAGCAGCCATTGCAACATCTTGCATTGAGCCGGTTCTCACACGCCGAGTTTTGGGCCACATGCCGTAGGCGCAGGGTTTAGAGAGGGCTAAAATGGCTGGCACGGGGCTGGCGTGGCGATAGCCCCGTTTGCCGCGGCCTCCCCCTGCTCGCCGCCCCGCGCGGCTCCTGAGGGGCCAGGCGGAYGCGAGGCGGCGGCAGCGGCGACGTGAGGCGGTAACGTGAGGCGTCCAGCTGCTGAGCGCCTCCAAACGCCAAGGGCTCCCGAGATCAAGGGCCCAGCAAGGCAAACGGGGGAGAAACGGTTATTTTTGAAAGGCTTTTTGAGATTTAGACTGTTTAAACACCTTTACTCACCACGGAACTTTGCAAACACCGCCCGCCTAACACTTCGTTCGCTATTAAACACTAAGTTCGTGTGTCAAAAAAGGAAGCTTTTTTGCTTTATATTCCTTGCAATGCCGTAACCCTTCACAAAGCAACCCCTATGTTCAGTCTGAAATATTTTGGTTTGAAAAAATGGATCATTAATGCAGCAGAACAGTATTCGTTTAGCTAAATGTATAATACATGAGGAGTGTTTTTCCTTCTCCTCAATATGCAGCGAGTTGCTACAAGCAGCACTTTGTCACAAAAAAAAAGCGTGTAGAAGGAAAAACACATTACCACACGGCAGGTTTAAACTAGGTAATAGAGAAACATTAAGTTAAGACACGAGCAGTGGAGGAGATGCTGTTTTATGTGAAATACAATAAACTGCAACCTGTGGCTGTACAACAGCTTGACTCGGGACTTCTCCTGCCATCCCCGACCTTTATACTGCTCATTTCTCCCTCTTTCAAATTTAATCAAAGTCAATGCTTAGAAAATAACCCACAATTTCAAACTGTTTGATAGCAGATACGCACTTGGGCAGGCTTCATCCAACAGCCCACTTCTGCTTTTTCCAAAGCTGCCTTTCATAAGCCAAGAGCAAGAAGCTGGAGAATTCCTTTGAGGAGAAATACAGCACCAGACTGGGGGGGGGGACCCCAACGACCCCTTCCCTCCAACATACTAATCTAATTTACATGTTATTTTCTCCCCTCCAAAAACCAAGTTACATATTGGCAAAAGATGAGCTGCTTCCTTCCCTTGTCTTTAAGGCATGAAAGTGCCCGGCAAGGCTCCCCATTCATATTGGAGGGTCTCTGCCATCCCGGGCTGAGGGATGCGCTCGTGCCAATGTGATCTGACTTCTTGTACAGCAGTGGGCATCACGGGGGTGTTTGCCAAGCTGGGAGCTGTCCGTGCTAGACCCCAAGAGAAGCAGAACCAACAGAAGTGTTGCTAAGCAAACCCTTGTCAAAATAAGACTCATTTTGATTTCTGATGCTCTAACTGCACAAACGCTGAAAATTTTTAGCTCTCTGTTAAAAGCAAAGATGAAAACTTCTTTCTTGCTGTCAAACTGAACGCTCATATGTACAACCTATTGAACATGGAATGCTTTTGAAACTCCTTTCAATACTGATTCTAAGGAAGAGACACCAAAAAATAATGACAGTATTTCACTCATGGTCTCAATGATTCATGTAATGAAAATGTAATCCCCCACTTGCTGTATATTCGTGTTCCTACCTCCACAAATTGCTTTAGCTTTTTAACTGSAGGAACTCCCAGGAAGCAGCATTTAACAGACTAACACAATTCCCTCTTTTTTAGGTAATCGCTTTTCAATTACACAATTTTTTCCTTCTCCTGTAAGATTAATATATTCATGAAATAATATCCAAATGGTATTAATTGTGATTAATATCAACCTATTTGGTAAAAAGGGGATATGCTCCTTCATTATTTACCTTGCCATCACACGTCCTTTAATRTCAACATATTTTAATGGCATATTTCTTCCCAAATAATTAGTCAAGGGGTAGGTTACTAAAATAACTGAGCCCTATTTTTCAACTCCATGTTTTTGCAGTATCTTGCATCCCAAAACAAGAGTCTGCTTGAAACGTGTTTTCCTGTGARAGAACTAAAGCGGTTGCCATTCACACATAACAGCAAGAACTTGCGGCTGCACTTCACTTAAAAGCAGCGCTAACTAATAACCTTTCCCTGCCTGCCAAGATGAGCACAACATCAGCTAGTATTTTTTTGTAGTTTAATTTCTTTATATACACCTCTGATACCTTTTAGAGTTGCATATAAAGGAAATAGTGCCTGTAAAAGCAGAATGAAAGTAAAAAAAAAAAATACATTTGTAGCCTCACACACGTATCTATTAGCAGCACAGCAAGCTCATAAAAACACTTGGCGGTTCAAGATTGCTCTTAGTTCCTCTTTTTCTGAGATTGATAGGTGGTAACTCCGTTTCAGGTTAATGCTTCTCCATAATCACCTCATTCTTTCTCTTAGAACACAAAATTTCCTCCATTGACTTTAAAGGGAATTTTCCTTTTAAGATGCATTAAGTTGTTACTTTCACAAAGATGTGTGAGAGAAGCAATTGGTATTCAGCTACCGCCATTCACAGGAAAGAAAAGCAAGACCTACATTTAAGTTTCCTCATATAACAAACTATGTTGTAATGTTCCATGTTACCATACAATTTCATCAGACTCTGACCTGCTCTGCAATTTCTAGCAAGTAAAGTGACAGGCAAACAACAGTCAAAAAAAAAAAAAAAGGAAACACATATATCACTACTACTAATTCAAATTTCCTTTTCCTATGTTTTTGTTTTTCCCTTAAAGAAGTTTAAATTTTTTTTTTCTGATAGCAATCTAACTTAATGCTCATGCAAGAAGTAATACCATACCTGCCATGAGCTCTTGGAGGCTCAGCCACAAATCAGCCGTAGAACATGTGGCCGAGTTCAAGCTTTT